CTCTTCGTGTTTACAATAACTTGACTGTTTTGAGGTGTTGGCATGCGCAATGTTATTTACATATATTGTTATATACATTATTCGATAAAAACGTGATATACACATTTTAAAAACGGGTGTTTAGTGATCAGTTTAACTCTTATAAGTGTCCATCGAGTTGTACCAGAGTCGTTATTGTGAATTATTTCTGTTCATATACATAGTATGTGTGCCAGTAAATATGTACTAACGGAAACACTATTATTGCTGTTTTGTATTGTATAAAAAAAACCCACGTGTAATCAAAATACCCATGATACACAAACATAAAATCATATATGTTAATAATAACGTTGTAATTGTGTTTGATAATTTGCTAATTCGTCGAACAATTAGAGACATTCTTATTTTTTTGTTTAAAATCAAATTTTTATTTTTCCTTTTTAATTTCAGATACATCGAGAAGACACCAAAAAAAAACACTTGCCCAAGACAGTGATCGTGACTAAATAGTCACTTTCCGAAATATAAAAATGTGAACATAGCAACGTTTCCGGGTTATTTCTATGCACTTCATTATAAAGAACATGGATGATACGTCAAAGTAGAAGGGAATCTACTCAGGGCAGTTATACACTATAAAAAATGAAAATATGATACATGCTTATCTGAAATAGAACAACCGTCAAGACAAATTCAGTATTTTAGCATACATGAGATTATATTTGATATATTGCAGGTAACCATGTCTCCGACGGAATTGACGTAGATAGGCATCATTTGACACTTGTTCACAAATACTGACATGGAGACTTAAACGTGGTACAGTTAAAGTTTGATGCTGCGATGACATTGCAGCAACAGAAATCTACGAACGTGGGGCTGAAGTCAATTTTTCCGCTGGATCAGCATTGTAGACACTTTAATTCTGTACGGCAACCTGAAGTTTATCAAACGTTTAACGTGTATGCTCATACGTTAACTTAACGTTTATCCAACGTTTGGCCGACGTGTTATCCGACATTATCCAACGTCGGGCTGACGTCTATGCCCAAACGTTGACGCAACGTCGGATTAACGTTGAGATCTGACGTTTCTACAACGTCGAGCCGATGGAGAAATTGGCGTCGCCCTGACGTTGTCTGCCGACGTTGTCTGCCGACGTTGTCCTAACGTATGAGCATACGTTGGCCCAACGTTTAGCCAACGTTGTACTGCCAGCTGGGATGCCATCTCTGTTTCTAAATACGTGGAAAATAGTCAAATCTAAATATAACACGGGATTATCCCTTTTTGGTTATTATAATGACACCATAGAGGATTTCTGTATCTATTTTTAGAGGCAAACACTCAGCACTTGGCGTCGTCCAAACAATACTACAGTCATATCCCTTAACTCAAGGTTACTTCCCTGTATTAATGGTTACTTTACCGTATCCCAGCTGTACTCCTCTACCCTTCGTCACATCCTTTACTCAAAGTCACTTCCCTGTATTAAAGGTCACATTCCCGTATCCTAACTAAACTCATCTCCCCTAAGTCAAACTCCTAAACTCAAAGTCACACCCCTGCATTAAAGGTCACACTCCTGTATCCTATCTATGCTCCTCTCCCCTAAGTCAAACTCCTAAACTCAAAGTCACACCCCTGCATTAAAGGTCACACTCCTGTATCCTATCTATACTCCTCTCCCCTAAGTCAAACTCCTAAACTCAAAGTCACACCCCTG